ACATACAAATCGTTAAAATGAAACAGAACCAAAATGGGACAAAAATTCGAAGGAGAAAATCAAAAACAAGAGAATTTGGGGCATGGGTTCCCATCAATGCAGCAATCGAGTCGCCACCAAACTCGACTCTCTCTATTGATGGGAAAGGTAAATTATTTTGGGAATGGGTTTTTTAAACAACAATATAGCGGTGTTCTTTGTGGTAAAATCTGTTCGTTTAGTATTTCAATGTCTGTGTTGTTATGTTTAAATTTATTAATATCGTAAAGCTCTAGTAGTTCTATGTGGAGGCTTTTCTTCATTTGGTGTATTATTTTGCTATTTTTCCTTTCATCAAAGTTGTGATTATTAAACATAAGATGTCTTCCAAAATTTGAGTTTTCTCTAGTTTTGTGTTCTTTGATTCTCTGGATAAGGCTTCTACCAGTCTCTCCTATGTATATGGCTCCACATGTGTCACATTCTAGCTGGTATACACCACTTTTTTGTAAAAAGTCTGTTTTGTCTTTGTTATTAACTATTTTATTCTTGGTGGTGTTGCTAGATCTGAAGGATAAACAGATGTTATATTGTCTATATATTTTTTGAATTTTATGGGAAATCTTTCCTGGATAGGTGATGGCACGATAAATAATATTATTATTTGTATTGTTATCGTTCCTCATAGAAGTTATATTAAGTAAAGTGGTCTTTTGTTGTATTTTATCAATCAGTTTGTGTATTGTATATTGTGGGTAATTATTATTTTGGGCTATTTGTTGTATAATATTAATCTCTTTCTAATTCTTGTTGTGTGAGGTGGGAGTTTAAGGCTCGCCAAATATATGCTCTGAAAGAAGCATATTTCTGGTTTTCGTGATGATGAGATTCGTAGGGTATGATACAGTCGTCTTGTTTTCATTTTCAATTTCAACCGTAAATTGTAATTTATTGTGCAGAGTATTTATATAGTTGTGCAGATCACTTATTTTTGTTTCATCATCAATGACAACCAAAATATCATCTACATACCTGGTCCATAAAAGAATGTGTTTATTGTAGGGGTTGTTTTCATTGATAATCTTTTCTGTTTCAATTTTATTAAGAAAGACATCTGCGAGAATGCTGCTCAGAGGCGAACCCATTGGAAGTCCATCCTTGTATTTATAGATCTGGTTGTTGAATTGGCAAAAATTTTGTTTTGTACATTGTCCAAATAAGGTTATAATATTCTTGATGTCGTCTTCTTCTGTAAAGGTATCTCGAATAATTTCTTTAATTATTTCTATGGTTTCTTTAACTGGTATATTTGTATATAAGCTTTTAATGTCAAATGATAATATTTTGTAATTATTGGGTAATCGTGGGTTAGTAAGGAGGGATATAAGTTGATTTCGGTTTATGATTGTATGTTTGGGTTGAAAGTTTATGTAGCTTCTTAAAAAATTAACTAATATTTTTGATAAGTTATACGTACTGGAATTTATGCAGCTGATTATAGGTCTGATGGGGTGATCTTCTTTGTGTAATTTTATGAGTGAATACAATTTTGGGATTTGAGGATTCATTATGTTCATCGTGCTTTTGTTACCTGTTATTTTATTAAGTGTTGCTTCACATTTTTTAATGGCACGTTTTGTTTCTTTATGAAAGGTTTTAGTGGGCCCTTGTTTATTAATTCAAAGTTGTTATCTCTCATGAAATGTTCCGTTTTGGAGACATATTGTTCTCTTTTTAGGATTATTAAACCAGCGTTCTTGTCCCCTGGTGTGACTACTAGATTGTTTTCTTTTATTTTCCGCTTAATGTCCTTAATAGTTCTTCATTGGTTTCTTATCATTTTCTTTTCGGTATTGTCGTTATGTCTCTTATTCTTTTCTTCTTTCAAAAGTATCTGTTGTATATCCTTTTTTATCTCTTCTTCATCTTTGTGTCCCTTTAGAGTGGATTGTATTTCTATGGCAATTAGGGGTAAGTTAAGATTTGTTTTTATGGCAAATTTTTGTCCCTTGTTCAGAAATTCTTCCTCTTCTTGACTGAAATTAACATTTGTAAGATTTGTGATTCTGGGATGGAAATTATGTGTGCTAATGTCTTTGAATTTATCATCTATTTCTCTTGCTTTTCTCTCTCTGAGTTTGTGTAGTTTACCTCTTTTCTTCTTATTTATTTCTTCTAATAAATTGTTATCGTGTTTTTTTGGCTTCTTCAATGCTTTGTTCTAGTTCGATGTGGTGTACTTGTTTACTAATTGTTTGGTACAAATAATATAGTTTTATATTAATTAAGTTGACTCTATTATGGTGTCCATTTATAGTCTTTTTAATTTGCTGTGTTTTCAAGGATATGATTTTATTTTCATGTAAGTATTCTGAATATTTTTTATTGGTGAAGTTAGGAAAAAGTTTTTCTCTTAAGCAAGTTTTTAGGAATTTAATGTGTTGTAGTTGTAATTTCAACCAACGAATTGATTCATTAATGTTCATTTTTACAATAGATAGTTATAATTTAATGCATGAATGGATAAAATAATTAATAAACATCCATTTCCCGACGTTTATAGAAAGTTATTGACGTAAGTGTTTTTAAAATTTTTTTAAAATTTATAAACCCTCTTTTGTTAACCTATAAGAATATAATTATTGATAATTTTCTATACTTACCTTTGTAGAGGTCTTCTGAGGACGGTAATGTAACCGAACCTAGTAATGACAAATAAATAATAAACAATCACCATAGTATATAATTTTAATTAATACTTACCTTATATTCTACAACGGTGATATGGATAAACAAATACATAGAATGTATGAATGAAGTTTTATCACCCAAAGATGATATACTGCCAACATTGTGGTTATTAAATAATAAAGTTATAAAGTTTATTGGAATCAATAAAGAGATTATTAAAATATTTTAATATTTAAGAACAACTACTTATTAATAAAATCAACTTTGTATCCTTTTTTAACTTTTCTATTTCATTTCCTTTTTAATTATATCAACTCCAAACGGTTTCATGCCTTTTCTTCTTATTATGAAGCATTATTAGTATTAATATCATTAATACTAACCTTTTTTTTAATGATTGGTATGTCCATCTGACTGCAATTTAGATTTCATACATGCTTCTACAGCAGCCTATTCTATTCTAAGTTACTAGATATTGTTATTAGTAGTTGCTCAGAATTATGTGCAGAGTCTGAATCACAAACACAGGAAAAGCCTTTTACGCTCAATTAAATGAAACCTACAAGGTACACAAACATATTTAGAATTAATTGTACAGCATCGAATGATTTACCTTAACGTTTTCCTCGGAAGGCATAGGCTAGCTCTTTCGCCCCAGTGCACACAGCGAATACGGCACAGCCTGCCGTATTCGCTGAGTTTTTACGTACGGTTTTTTTGAACCGGCGTACATCATTTTTATAACTTTATCGTCCACCGAGACCCTTTTTTCGGCCTGATTTGCAGAATATTTACAGTTTTCGTTTACCATTGTTAATGTTAAGTCAATTATAAATTTGTGGCAATAAACCTCACTTGTGCACCAGCACCAACACTCATTATAAAATTCCCCTAAAGATATTACTCCAACTAGTAGATATCCTATCCTGTTCATAACTTAGAATGGTAAAAGTGGTTTTCGAGTTACTTTCTAGATAAACGTTATCTAATGACTAGTCTATCAATCGGTTTATCGAGATGTGGTAGAAGTGGGCCTAAGTAGGTATAAGAGCAAAAAGTTTATAGTTAAGTTTATTAACATAGTTTTTATCTTTTATTTAATTAATATATGTTGTGCAGGGTTATAGTATTTTTATAGTACTACTTTATAATAAATTATTCTATCAAACTAGTTTTGATTTATCATAATTCCATTTCTCTATTCTTCTTATAATTACATTAGATTCTGCAAGTTGGTTGGTATTCAATTTTTATTTTCAAATAAACTGTACACAATCGAAAGAGACTGACTGTATCTGGAAACCGAACCAGCACCTTTCTTCTTCTTACTTCTTAGCTTTCTGTCGGCTTGCTTTTAACGACGCCCACAGCGGACGTCTTTCGCCGTCTTTTCCTTCTGTTTAGCAGCGGCGGCGTTGCGTAATCTTGCGCGTAAAAGGTATCTCGACGGTATATATCACGTCCGGGCGGCCGACGAAGCCGCGGCGGGATCACCATTAAAACGGAAACAGAAAGGGGGTCTCCATAAGAAATATCGTCCGCGGCAGGACAATACGCCAACGCTATGCTCTGCTCCGACTACCGTTTTCGATTGGAATTTTGCGCTGTCGACGCGTAACAAGGCAGCGAGGTGCCGTTAAATTATACCCACTACGTCGGGGCCTTCCGATTTCGATGGTTAATAACTATGAGAATGTGGTCGGTTTAGAATGGTTTAGACTTAGAGACCACTGTACAGGTTATGTTGATTTATGCATCCTTTGGTATTATAGTTGCACCGGGGATTCCTGGTGAGTGGGAAATCTACAGAGATAACTGTTTAGAGGAGGTTATAAAAGTACCATTTTTTAGTGTTTATTTGTTTAATCGGAGAAACAGGATGTATCTAGGAATATTCTTTAAATCCTATTCTAAAGTCATAAATCGTAAATATATTTCTCTAAATAATTTAATGACCTTATATTGAATTAATTTCTATATTTGGAAATTGATATTTCTTGTTGACACTTCTCAAAATTAAAACTGATGCAAATCAAGTCTCTTCTAGGCCCATAACACATATTCACATAAATTATACCGAGCCTAGAGGTATTTATAACGTCGTTTCACATGGCTTGTTATACCAAAACTTATTACACTGAGAGTGCGTATAAATGTGTCAACAACTAGCTTAATAAGATCAAAGTCTCTGTCCCGGCTTATTTACGTCTGAGTACCATTTCAAATTTATCGCCGAAAACTCGTGTTTACTGGATGCCGAGATCAGAGCAAAGACGAAATATTTTTCGTGTAAAACGAAAGCGAAGGGTGATTAAAAGAAGTTTACTAAATGGGGTTTATGAAATTTATTTAAAAATAAACTGGAATATTTACTATCCGGATGTAGAAGGCAATAAAGGAGGCATGTCGGAAGGAAATCCTCGTTTTCGGCTACCAAAAGCTGCAAGGATAATTTCTACGGCGGTGGTTATAGTTTTCTTTTGTAAGTTTTCACATCCTAAATTTGGATTTACTTCCACCATGTCCATTCCATCTAAACGGCCAGTTTTGTGTAAAGCGTTTGCTATTGAGATTCCTTCTCGTACAAGAAGACCACCTGGAACTAAAAATTACTTTTAATAAAAAGCAAATTTTAATAAATAAAAAAGGAGTTACCTGGAGTTCCAGTACTTCCCGCGAATTGTGGATCAATAGCATCGATATCAAAACTTAAATGTAACGATCTATTATTATCGGGATCAATTTTTTTTAAGACGTTATCAATAACTGATTGAATTCCCATATTCTGAATGTGGTCCATATCATAAACTGTGATTCCGTACTTGCTGATAAAGAATTCTTCATAAGGATCTATCGATCTTAATCCAATGTAACCAACGTTTTTAAGTGAAATACATGGTTTGTGCCAATCGAATTTCGGTCGACTTTTCCAATATCCCTCGATTTCTTTAGCTAAAAGAGCTACTGGCATCCCGTGCATACTACCAGTATCAGAAGTTGCATCCGTATTAATATCAGCGTGGGCATCCACCCAAATTACAGCTACGTTCCCATTTTTTGCTTTACAATGACCACTTATTGAACCAAAAGCTAGAATAATAAATAAAATAAATCATTAATTTATATCGTTGAATAAAAAAATAATTTTATATTTACCGATGGAGTGATCACCACCCAAAGATAAACAAGTTCTTCCATCTTTCATTACAGTTTCGGTCATCTTTGCAAGTTGTTTATTGCAAGCTGCAACTTCTCCAAAATTGAGTAGATTTGTTGTAGTTGGTGCAGAACTTGGTTTGTATTCAACACAACCATAGTCTTTGATGTCAGCTCTACAATGTTCTTTAAGTTTCTGTAATAGTTCCGCATCTCTTAAGACTTTAGGCCCTTTTTGAACACCATGTTTTCGTTGTCCCTTTGCGAAAGGTACGTCAATAACGCCGATTTTAGGTTTACCCATTTTGTTGAGGAGACTACTAGAAGGAAACTACGTTAATTGTAGAATTTTTCGCTTTATATATTAGCAGTTATCGCTGTTGGTAAAGAATTAATTGAAATTTATTTACAAATTTTAACGAAATTAATATAAACGTTATTTGAAATTTTTAATATTACATATTTACTGTGGGATTCTCATTTGATATTTATTCTTGTATATTTCCAACTGTAATGATGTAGTTATTTTTGAAAGAAATTTAATTTTGATACATTTATATTTAAGTAAACTCACGATGTTGTTGAACCATGTTTTTATTCATAATAAAATTATTATTAATTAATTTGATACGATTATTTTACGAGAAATGTAATTTATTCGTTTTGACATTCGAAATGTCTAGAAAACGTATGATATAATAACCTAACAGTGTTTGAAATACTGTTGTTAAGAGTTCAATATGACAATAACTACCGCGTATATTCTGTTATGGTTTGATGGCGCTCATAAATATGTATATTTTATAATGTACGTTGTTATTTAATGTAGTTAAGAATAAATTTGTGATTACATTTCCTTATATAGATGAGAAATGGAAATCTATGAACTTGGGTGGATATTTAAGGACGCCTATAAATATAAATTTCAAAAGATAATGATAATGCAATTACTATTCCAGCCACATTCAATCGTAAAATAATTTACCGAAAGCATCTACACGCACTATGTAAACATTTATTTATTGGTTTGGTATTGTTAAGACGACCAGAGGTTTGGAATTTAATCTATGATCCTTGGTTAAAATCGAAATACTTAAAAATCTTACATTACTACATTCTTAATTTTATTTTATATTCTTATCTTAATGTTTTATAAAAATGTATTATTTTAATTGATTTTACAATTTTTTCAAATTTCCCATTATTTTAATTTATTTTATTCAGCTAAGGATTTGGGTTGAATGAGATTTACATACGCTTTCTCAAATTTGTCATAAACGTCTTTGAATTGATGAATTTAAATTCGTTTTAGATTTAAATTGAATTAGATTGCCTTTAGGGTGATTAAACCAAAACAAAATTAAGTACGAAAGAAGCGTATCTAATCGAATTCACGGATGTTGATAAATTTCCTCAAAGTCATCGTAAGAAATTTTATGGAAAATTAAAACAGTTTATGATGAAATAATTTGTTTATATTCGTACAACCGGTTTTTAACCTCGTTCGTCATCAGGTGCACGACGCAAAACACATAAAAGACATCGAACTTTGACATTTCAAACATTTATATGCGATTAGATACATAAATTTCTTATAGTTGTTAAAAGAGTTGCTAACTTTGATAATTAACTAAAAAATAGAAATTAAGTAAGTGTGTGGTATTGATGAAAGATAATAAGTGGTATAAGTATATTGTGTATATTATATATATAATATAATATTATTTTAAAATATGAATATATTTTAACTTAAAGTCGATGTGCAACGCACGGCATTTATCAATTACGTTTCTAAAGTATAATAATTGTGTATAATTAATTGAACATTTAGATTCAATTTATGAATCCTAATCATCACACAAGATCACAGTTGTGTGGTATTTCACAATACTAGAAGTAATGTTTGAAAAGTTTCTTTGCAATTAAAGCTTCTAGCTTTTAAGTGAATCTTCTGTATGTAATGGAAGAATCAGAACTTAATTCCAACATTCTTTCTTTTGACAAATTTTTTTAGTAATTTTCAGCGTTAAATGTAATTTCGAATCTATTGATCAATGTCTACGACATCGAATGAAATTGTATCCGAATATAAAATTGTATGGTCTATGTACGAGAAAATATACCTATCGTTGTTGCCTATGTTGGCAGTTCTTTGGATGTATCTGTAAATTGTGTAATCTAATCTAAATATTGGGTTTGCCGTGATATTTTATTAGATTTTAAAGAAAAGGAAGAAATTAAGCAACACATCTTCATTTATGATCTATGAAAATGGTTAATTCACAATATTCATAAATACAAACAATCATTAATTGAAACGTAACTAAGTAATAACTCTAGGTAGAACAGTATAGTTATTGACTACTGTTAACTAGTCCACTTGCAAATATTGCAATATATAGCAATGCTCTAAAGCGGTTGGGTTTTGTGATTAGGACCTGCCGTATGTTCACAAATATTCAATGCATAAAATCTCTTTACATGTCGTTAGTAGTTAGTGTTCTTAGCTACGCCTCTACTGTCTGGAACCCTCATTATGCTATTCACATTAACCGCATTGAATCTGTTCAGCGTAAGTTTTTGAGGTATTTAGCACGCAAAACATTTTTACCTTACGGTGATTATCTTTTGCGTTGCAATGCTCTAGGGTTTCAGACATTGAAGCAAAGGAGGCTGTGCTACGACTTATTATTCTTGTTTAAACTAGTCAACAATCTTTTCAATTCCTCGGAATTGGTGAGAGAATTATGTTTTTATGTACCCTCATATCAAACACGTGGTGAATATTTGTTTAGAATTAGTAGATCCTTATCTTTGGCACATCTTTACTCTCCTCTTGTTAAATTGATGAATACGCATGACTCTTACTGTAGGAATATCGACATCTTTAATGTTTCTTTGATTGTTTTCAGACGTTTCATGCGGGGCGTGGGCGTGGAGAGATCGTTACTACTCCGTTAATGATTATATTTTTATTTATATAAGTAACGTTTTTTTTTTTATGTTTTTTGATTTGTTTATTATTGTTGGAGTGTTACTTTTGATTTTGATTTTGTTTTCATTTTGATTTGGAATATTATTTTTTGTTGTACTCTTACATAAGTTTTTTTGTTATTAATATTTAGTTGAATATCTTGTGTATACTTTGTTGGGGGTCAACCCTGTTTGCATCCCGAATGTAAAATAAAATAAAAATAAAAAATTATTAGCTAAAAGATTCTAACTAACTGCACTCCAAAGAATCAAAGACGGATTTCTATTCTTTCTGATAATTCCTGTATCTTTTCTATTTGTCAATTTTAGTTATTATGGGAAAGATAGTGAAGTAAAGTAAAATATTGGTATATTATAGAACCATAGATGCCCCATATACTTGTATTTTTTAAGTAATGTAGTGGCTTGGTATGCATAAGACAATGCGGCCGAGCCGCACATAAATTCTTTACATCTCAACTAAGGGATCATACAGTGTGTTAATTAATTATCGTACCTGACGGCATCATTGCAAGTATGCAACCATGCAAGCATGTATTGGTATTGCAATATGCAAATAGCGTATTGGAATACGAATACTGTGATATTGGTTGCATATTTGCAATGATGACGTCTGGTACGATAATTAATTAATACAGTGTATTATATCAGTGTTTCTCCACCTGGGTTCCGAGTAACGCAAAGGTATCGCAAATTGAACAGGGTTACACCACATATTGGTTGTATAATAATATAAGACTACAAGAAATGTATCATGTAATTAAAAAATACATTTGTAGTTCTATTCGTAGTACTCCCCTTAGTCCTCTTTGTTTCAGTATTGGCATTCGTTTGTTGCGCATTTTCTATAATATAAGAACTACGTATATGTATATTCCGGACATTAAATTCCTGTGACATTTCCAACATCGTCTAATAATTTGGGACAATACTTTAGTACGAAAGGATTTGGTTAAGTTTATTTGGAGTTGTATTAGTAACTACAAAGTGTTTAACTTTATTTTTTTTCAATAGGTAGCAGTTAACATACATAGGTAACAATACAGTTTGTAAGCTGTTTATTATAGTATAACTACATTTAATTTATATTCACATTTTCTTCTTCATTCATCTCTTCTGCTCATTATGTTCCATTTTGCGATGATGGTCAGCGTTTTTTTCCAGCATTTCGGTGGATTTCGCAGGCATTTTAACACGGCTCGTTTCTCATACCACCCCCCCCCCCCTCTTTGCTTTTTGGTCTATCGAATAATGTCCTCAATACAACATGTGTTTCTGATGTCATCGCTTTCTTAGTTGTCTCTTAAAGAATAGAGGTTATGGCTCTTATAGTTCTTATTTCAGTACTCCTTAAAAAAATATAGTGGTGGCTCTTATTTCTATGGCGTATATCATGGGTCTTATGCTTGTTTTGTATTCTGACCTTACTTTTGATGCTTATCTGTTTGTTTCTTCATCTTATATTACATAGATACCTCGATATAATTACTGCTTCAATTTTTTGAACTGCTGCTCCACGCTTTGGTAGTATATCGGTAGTTTGCATCTTCTAAGTTTTCTAGAATCTGTAAGGAACTATATTTTTTTAGTTGAAATGATCATGCTGAATGTTTTTGCAATAGTTTTGAATCTATATAACTTCTGCAAATTATATTCGTCTTCGGATATTAAAACGGCATCGTTAACATAAGAAGTTATTTTGATTTATTTGTGTCTCATACTGCACTGTAAAAAATGGATGTAAAATTCCATTATACCACATTAAAATGCAAGTTTGATTTAGGTAATAAAACATAAATAATAATGTAAAATTTAAAAAACACCTAATACTAAGTAAAATTACATAAAATCAGTAAGATTCCATAATATTCCAATATTTTACCATAAAATTACATACGGTAACGTAAATTATTGGAGAAACATGTAAAGTCAAGTAAAATCTTGTAAATATATTTAATAAACCGGAAATCATGTAATATTGTTTGAAATTAATATTTCAAACATGTGAAATTCCCACACGCTTCTTTCACAAAAGTTCTGTCAAAACCTGTTAAGGTCGCTTAGTACTGTGATTTTTAGGCAAAGATAAAAATTTCCTTTGTTTTCATCTAAAAACGATGCCAAAAAGTATCTAATTCAGATAGATAGTTTTTGGCATACACGCATTTCTTTCGCTCACTCGGGTGTAATGTCATCCCTGTTACCATCCTAAGAGTAAGTTAAATTTTGTTTCTTTTTTACGCCTATTATGTAACAATATTTTTTTAGTATTTAACCTTTTTGTAAAAATAACAAACGATTTTACGTTAATTTTAATTTCATTACATTTAAGTTAAATTTTGTTTCCTTTTGTGTTTACTTTGTAAGTAAATGCTTTCTATAATATTTATCTTTTGACTTTAATTTTTCTAATTTATGTTTGAGGTACTGTAAGTTTATTGTTTACAGCTTGGCAAATTCAATCTGAAGGCAGTGGAGCGGCAAGGTTTGTAGTTATTAGGTGTGTATTCCGTCCACTTTTGATAGCAAGCAAGAATACTCCTTTCTCTGACATCACAAAATGACAAAGCACTGTAATATAGCTATTGTCGATGTGACGTCAAAGAGGAGAAAATTTTTGATTGCTATGAAAAGTGTACGGAATACACAGTCGATAATTACGGACTT